ACTCCATCAGGCTGCAGAGTTGAGAACAGACTGTGGGATTGAAAGAGAAGCAAGGATGATCAGGCTGCAGACTACTGCCAAAGTCCAGATGAGAACCAGGATTGAATAGACCAGGATAGTAGTTCAGAAAAAGTGGTTGGATCCTGGATGCATGTTTTAAAAAGGGGCAACTAGATTTTCTAATGTGGAGGGAGAGAGAGTGAAACAGGATTCAGGGATGGCCCCAGGGTGGTCAGTCTTAGTAGCTGCAGTGACGGAAGCTCCATTATCTAAGATGGGGAAGAACATAGTAGCAGTAATATTCACTGGGGGGTAGGGTGGGATAAGGAGCTTTGTTTTGGCCATGTTAAGAGTCTGAGTTTCTGAGATCACTGAGTGGAGGTATGAGGTGGGCAGTTGGACACATAGGTCTGGAAATCTAGGGAGGGTTCAAGATGGAGGCATCTAAAATGTGGTGGCTACTGTATGGACTCAGATGAGTAAATTGTGGTCACACTTAGGGGTAATCTTCAGGTTATAGTAGTAAAGTTATTGGGGGCTGGTAGATGACTATGGGGGCCCTTTTTCTGAAGTTTAGATATGCAACAATACAATAAATCAAGCCATGTTTTGCAGTTTTGGCCAATTTCCCTGCATATATGCTCTTACTGTGGTCAATTTAAAAGGGCCAATATGACATCACTAAACGTGAAGTTGGAAAGAGTTGTTGGTAGCCCATCAATACATTGTTTCCACCATACTGATTCAGTAGCCACAAATAACCTCAAGAACGTAGAAATTAATGAAATGTAGTGAAATGATTAGGAAGTGAGTTTTTCTGTTTATTATTGATACAATGACACATTATACCTTTTGACTGGAAGATCCCTATGGCTATGGATTTCACCCCCAATACTAGACTGCCCTACTATATGTAGACATGGCAAAATATCACAAGGGATACACCTACTACACTAAGTCCCTATCACCAGCTTGGTAAGGACCACCTTTTGGTCTTGAAAAGAATTTAAAAAAAACAATGGCTATCCTTCACAATGAAGCCAAAAAGGTTGAATTAGTTAATAGAGTTGGAACTATGAAGAGCAATGTGCGATGGGCTCTTATCAATATCTGACCACTGATAAGGTATTACTGATCATTCCCCCAAAACAACTCTCAACAACTAATCTTTTACAACTATGAAGTGTATTCTCTTTAGGGGCAAGTAAAGTAATAACTATATTATGTATTTTGTTCCATGGGATGAATAAGATTCTCTTCCATTGTTCTATTTCTAAATGTTGGTTCAGATCACGACTATGTGTGTATAATTTAAATCTTTTTTTTTAAGCTTTGAAGTATAATTGACAAACTTGTAAAATATTTATATGTATGTTGTGATGATTTGACACGCGTAGACATTGAGAAAGGCAGATTAAAGTTTTTAATCTGGGATTTTAGCTTCCTCTTTTAAGGTTTATAATTTTTAAAATACAGTAATTGGATTTTGTGAATTGCTAAAGGTGTAACTTTAAAAGGTTAATGTTTTATTTATCTGACAAATAGAAGTTAGAGAAGTCTAATTATGTTAAATATTAGGAAGTATAGTTTATACATATTGGGATTATTCAGGAGTAACTCGGAATTTAAAATTACACAAGAAATATTGATCTGACCATACAAATCATTAACACCTTAATTTTTCAGTGAATATCAAAAAGAGGTAAACAGCACATGTGAATAAACTTGAAAGACACACCTAAGAAAAGCCATACAAATCTACTTTGTACCCTAATTGCAATCTGCCTTAAATAATAAAATCAGTACAGACATAGCATATCTTAAAAAAATTCTTGTGTATTCAAATTACCAGAATTATGAGTCCTTACATTTTAGAAATGTATTATGAAAAGGTTATGCATTGACTTAGGTGGGATTATAAAAAAACAAAAAACAAAAACAAAAAACAAAAACCACTAACGTGCATGGGGATACAGGAACCACTGTGACGATGAATAATGGAAAACTGGGATAGGATTCATGGAGCTTCCTAACAGTCTTTTCCGTTTATGGATACATTTGAAAATAGCCATTATAAACAGAATATGTCTTTGTATTAGTGATTTTATATGCTGAGAAAGATGCATTAAAAAAGGCAGGATATTTGGTTTCTGGGATGCAAGCATGTATGGGAAACATCAAAATGTGCATTTTAAATCAATTACACTTACATCAAACTGTTTTTCAAAAATGTTTAAAACTTGACACTTCTCAATCATTATACTGTTTTGTTTTGTTTTTTAAATTGATGTTCTTGAGGTTATTTGTTGGCTCTATATCAATATACTGCAAATAAAATATAATGGTATGCTACTAGAATCCATGTTCAGTGACATCGTTTTCTTGGCAGTTTGAAATTGAGCACAATGGGAATATTTACACCAGGAAAATTGACAAAGATTATAAACCTAGTTTCAATTTAATGTATGAGTGAATGTTTAGGCTTAAAGAAAGTGGTAGAGAATATGTTAACAATGCAGATTAAACTTATAAGTGTATGGTGGAAGTAGGCTTTAAATTGTACTTAAGACAAAAATTTGAAGAAAGAAAATTTCCTTCCCTCATTCAAAAACAACTGTTTCATATGGCAACGAAGTCATTCGCTGAAGAATGAGTGAAAAATCAACATTCATCTTTATTGTTGCACTGTCTTCCTACTGATTAAAATAATAAACTTGTAAAAAGAAAATAGGCAAAAGAGTTTGAGCATTTTACCAAAGAAAATAAAGAGAGGGTAAATTAATGCATGGGGAAAAAAGCTCAACATCATAAATTCTTAAGGAAATAGAATTAAAACCAAAGTGAGTTACCACTACATACTTATTTCCAGGTCTAACATTGAAAAAGATTAACCATACCAAGTGTTGTCAGGGTTGTAGAGGAACTGGAATTATCACATACTGTTGGTAGAAAGGCAAAAAGGAACAGCCCATAGTTCAGCATTTCTTAAACCGGAAAACATTCACCTACCCTATAATAGTCTAAGAAATAAAACATATCCATATAAAGAACTAAATGCAAATATTCATAGCAGCTTTATTTGCAATACCCCAAACCTGGAAATAACCCAAACCATTAATAGATGAATGGATTACAAACTGGTTATTCACAGAACTGAATACTATCCAGGATTAAAAAAAAAAAAAAAATGAACCATTCATGTGAGCATTATTCTTGAATCTCAAAATAATTGTGCAGCATGAAGGAAACCAGTATTTTTAAAAAGAGTAGAGACTTTATGATGCCTACTTAAAATTATAGGAACCTAGCTCTTGTAAAGGAAGGTAAATAAATGATGCCTGGAGTGCTGGGAGAGGCAGGGAGATTATAAAAGGGTACGAAGGAACTATATAGATGACAAGATAAGTTGATTTTCATGAGTGTGATGGTTTCATAGCTTTATCCCTATGTCAAAACTTACCAAATTGTATACGTTAGATAAGTACACTCTGTTGCATGTCAATTATACATATACCTGAATAAAGCTTTAAAAAGTGTTTCCAAATAAATACCTAGATGACCCCTTTTTCTTAGAAAATTAGGTGGCAACCCTATATATCATCTCTCTCTCTGTGCCCTGGGAGGGGCAGCCTTGCCTCAGTGGCAGCAAATACTGGCAAAAAATGACTGTTGCCATCTGAATCAATAGGAATGCTGACTGGTTCACAAAAGACACATCACTGGATACAGAATCATCCTTCTAGTCTTGTTTTCTTGCCTCTAGAGCAATGGCCTTGAGGTGAACACCTCAGAGGCTATGGGAATCCACGAAACCTTTAGATTATTTTCCATGCCAATGACCTCAGCTATAGGATGTAGCTATGGAGGTCCTGAGAATTTCCGTACACACTGAGCACACCAGCCAGTCACAGAAACACTTGTGGATAAACTTTCAGAAGAGGCACATCCCATCTAATTTACTGCAGTCTCTTGCACTCCCTATCAATCCAGTGTTTCTGTCCCAATTATAGTTCCGCCTGACTCTTATAGTCTTAAAACAAACGACACTAACCTATGAAATTTTGTACATCATGGCACATGGCTCTTTTGCAGGGCTTGGGGAGGAGGTCCCCTCAATGTTGCTGAGAATTATGTAACACGTACTATGAACAAGAAATAAAATTCAGTGTTCATAGCACAACAAAGTTCTCCTCTTTAAGGTGATCTCTGACCTCCCAAAATAATCATGGCACAAGCCTGAAAATTAGGACCACAAAGCTGTGCAGTCTTTCTTTCAAGGCCTTGGACGGCAATGCAAAATAAATCAATATTGGACAATGAGTGATTTTCTCCCACTATCCTGTCCATTTCGAAGCACAGAAAGTTTGGGATCCTCACAAAAATCTGTTCACCTCTATATGCTGACAGATCACAATTCTTCTTTCAAATCACCCTGTGCAGTGACTAGAACTGCCAAAATTAAAGGTATAAAAACAAAGACCTTTACAAAAATATCATAAACCAGAGAAGTTTCCAGGTTGGTGAATTAGAACGTGGAAAAAATTCATCACAAGTATAATGTGAGAACAATGTCCCTGAAGGAGGTAGTCCTTTTTAGCTGAGGATGGGTCGTCTGGACCAAAACTGGGGCAGGTCCATTCCCTAAAGTCAGAGAGAAAGGAATGAGGATTCTGCCAAGGGCTCAGGGTATTCATAATTTCAAAAGGGAGAACAAAGGTCAGCTTCCCAGAGCATTTGAGATTGTGACTAATGCATTGTGCAAGGTAAGTCAGGTGCGAGAGGTGAAATGGCTTCAGCCACAGAAACTGGCGGTGACATAAATCTGGTAATAGCACGGGGCAGGTTAGAAACTGCAGTGCAGTTCCTTAAAACCTCACATGTACTTGAAACTTATGAGGAATCTAGCACAGTGCATACTGGCACAAGAGGTTTAAATTCAGGTAAATGGCTCTTACAGAGTGTCTCCTCCAGTGTTGTTATACTGAATGAGAAAAGAAAACATTCTCAGCACATTTAAGGCTTTTCTCCAGTGTGAACTCTCTGGTGTCTAAGGAGATTAGATTTGCGGCTAAAAGGTTTTCCACATTCACTACACACATAAGGTCTCTCTCCAGTATGAACTCTCTGGTGTTGAATGAGATCAGATTTGTGGGTAAAGGGTTTCCCACATTCATTGCACTCATAAGGCCTTTCACCAGTGTGACCTCTCTGGTGTTGAATGAGGCTAGAGCTTTGGCTAAAGGACTTCCCACATTCACTACACTCATAAGGCTTCTCTCCTGTATGAACTCTCTGGTGTTGAATGAGGCTAGCACTTTGGCTAAAGGATTTCCTGCATTCACCACACTCATAAGGCTTTTCTCCAGAATGAACTCGACGGTGTTGAATAAGTCCAGAGCGCTGTCTAAAGGACTTCCCACATTCACTGCACTCATAAGGTCTTGTGCCAGTATGAATTCTCTGGTGTTGAATGAGGTCAGATTTGCGTGTAAAGGACTTTCCACATTCACCGCACTCATAAGGTCTTTCTCCAGTGTGAACTCTCTGATGTTGAATGAGGATAAATTTGCGGCTAAAGCATTTCCCACAAACACTGCACTCGTACGGCCTTTCTCCAGTGTGAACACTCCGGTGTCGAATGAGGTTAGAGAACTGTCTAAAAGACTTCCCACATTCGTTGCATTCATAAGGCCTTTCTCCACTGTGAATTCTCTGGTGCTGAATGAGTTCAGATTTGCAGCTAAAGGATTTCCCACAATCACTACACTCATGAGGCATTTCTCCAGTGTGAACTCTCTCATGTCGAATAAGGTTAAAGATTTGTCTAAAGGTTTTTCCACATTCGCTGCACTCATAAGGCTTTTCTCCAGTGTGAACTCTCTGGTGTCGGAAAAGGCTGGAGCTTTGTCTAAAGGACTTCCTACATTCCCCACACTCATAAGGCCTTTCTCTAGTATGAACTCTCTGGTGTTCGATGAGGTTGGATTTATAGCTAAAGGATTTCCCACAGTCCCCACACTCATAATGCATTCCTCCAGTGTGCTGTCTTCGGTGGTGAATGAGTCCAGATTTCTGTATAAAGATTTTTCCGCATTCGTTGCATTTGTAAATCTTTTCTTCAGTGTGAATTCTCCGATGTTTTATAAGATTGAAGTTATGGATAAATAATTTTCCACATTCTCTGCATCTGTAAGGTTTGGTACCACTGTGAATTCTCTGGTGTTTAATAAGGCTATAAATTTGGCTAAAGAATTTCCCACATTCACCACATTTATATGGTCTTTTTCCAATATGTGTTTTCTGGTATTGAACACATCTGCAGTTGCAGCTGAAGGCTTTCCCACATGTGCTACCCTCATAAAGTCCTTCTCCAGAGCAGACACTCTGACGGTGAATACATTTGTGGTTGTGGCTAACAGCTTTTTCACATTCACTCCACTTGTAAAGAGTTTTTCCACTGTGAAAGGCCTGCCCACTCTCACTGCCACTGTGTGGCTCCTCACTGTTAGGAGTGGCCTGGTGCTGGATAAAGCCTGAGGTAGCTGGGAAGTCCTCCCCATCCTCCCTACAGATGAAAGGCTCCCCTGACATGTAGAAGCTGCAGCTGGTCGCAAATGAGGCCCCATCCATATCTCTTTTCCAGGACTTCTCTACACTGGCATGCCTCTGGTGCTGGTGAAGGTTTGCACTGAAACAGAAGTATCTCACACATCTGCCACCCAAGTATGGTTTCTGCAAAGAGTATATTGTTTGGTGCTCAGCTTGGTGCAAAATATCTTTCAAGATTGGGACACACATCTCACAGGGATGGGTCTTCTGGATGGTTGGAGCTGTCTTAGAAGCCCTGACTCGTGCCTCTCCTACCGATTCACTCTGCTCAGAAGGGACCTCCTCATCTTCCGTCTTATGCCAACAACCTGAAAGCAGAAAAATGCTGAGGAAATGGCTGCTTACTTCAGTGAGAGGGAGAAGTCCCATTACAAAGGTGTGTCAGACACAATATGTTGTGTCCATGGGACTGTTCTGAAAACAAGGGGCCTAAAGCAGGTTGAGGAAGGGGCTCTGTACAGCACTAGGCCTTGGAAGATCACAGATTAGGGGAGACCTCACCAGAGAAAGGACAAAGATGGCATGCACCACATGGAAGAGAGGAAGGATCTCCAATCCATTCTTCTACCAACAGGCTTCAGAGGAATGTTGTCTGCTGGTGACGTGGGCAAGTTGTGCGGAAGGTTAGTCGTGTCTTTTCCCAGTAAAATTCAATATGAACTGAAGCATCCGGTGTTCAAGAACAATTTAAAGATATGTGCACACCTCAAAACATATGCACAGATCAATGTTAGAGACTACTGTAGAGGAAGCAGTGCAGAAGAACAGGTGATGCATGAAGATCACAAAGGTGAAAGGAGCCAGGAAGTCACAGATTAAATGACAAGTCAGCCGAGTGTCAAGTATGGGGAAGAAAAGGTAGAAATGAGGTGTGGTCAGTGGTACTTGCACAAAAACATTATTGGACACGCAGCAGTTTCCTGTTATAATTTGAACACAGCCCTTATGTCATGCTCTCCTCCAGTTGCCACTCACCAGGGTCAGGCCTCCTCTGAGACCATATTGCTATGTCCACCCTGCAAAACAACCAGGGTTCTTCCTGCACCCTCAATTGTACAATTACTCGGTACCTGAATGATGGGAATCTTAATGAAAGACAAACTAGGTGAGCAGCCAGCACTGGCCCAGAAAAAAATCAGTATACAATAGTATTCAGGGAAGAAACTGAAAACAATTGAAGGAGGATCTTACAAGAACAGCCCATGGGTCATATAAGTAATGACCATGACTGGCACAGCAGTCATGAAGACCTGTTACCTAGAGGAAGGGGACAGAACTGGACGTTATGGATCTGGACATAGCCACCTTACCACGGAGAGGGCAAGCAAGGTGGGATCCATTAAACTGTCTGAAGGACTCTTGACTCCCAGACACTTCCCTGAACTTTTTGAGGCAACAAGTGTTAGAGACGCTTGGGGAGTCCATTGTTCAGAGTGCTCCACAAAGCTCAGCACTGGTACCCCCAGCACATATGACAAGAAAGTGGAGGAAATTAGCAGAGCCCATGAGAAAGATAGCTACCTGTGGAGAAAAAAGTGAAGGCAGGACATCACCTCAGGACACTAGGAGAGATGTGAGGGTCTTACCCACAGATGCCACAAGTGCAAAGTTCTCCAGCATCACATCGTAGTATAGGAGTCTCTGAGCCTCATCAAGGAGCCCCCACTCCTCCTGAGAGAAGTCAATGGCCACGTCCTCAAAGTTCATACCCTGTTATAATGGGGACAATTCATTCCATGATCAGCTTCTGTTTGTGGGTATCAAACATAGGTTGGGGAGAAAAATTGGCCAGAAAGGAAAGTTAACTGATCTGATACTGGTCTTGCCAGACAATACTGAGGTCCCCCAGACTGTCCCTCCAAGACACAAAAAACATAAAAAACATAGCATCACCCTTCACCCTTACAACCCCAACTCCAGGGCCCTGATGCCATCAGTTTACATTACCCTCTTCACATGCGCATAATTCTTTGAACCACACTTCTCTCACACAGCTACATTCCCAGAAGCACAATTTCAAAGGTAACACAGCCCTGCCATGATGGAGACAGTTCATTCCATGATCAGCCTCTTTCCTAAAAGTCTAATTTCACCACATCCTTAATCTATCCCCTGCTTATCCTCCTCCCTTCCCCAAGCCAGTGGAGATTTCTAAGCCTGGGTGGCACTGATGTCCACTGTCTCATTGTGGTTCTATTGATCACTATGTCAGCTCTCCATAACAGGCAGGTGGGCAGATAAATGGCATCTAAGCTCTGGACCTGGCATGCGGGACCACAACAACCCCTTTTCAGGCAATTCCCCTGGAGTTCCCGGTATAGTTTTTTCCAGATACCACCAAACATGGGCTCACCCCTCACTCTTAGGTCAATATCAGGGCACGGGGGCATGATTTCACACTCCCTCTCCCAAACATCACTCACTATCCCAAACCTCTCCCTCTCACAATGCACTCCCACAGCTCTAGTCTGCTCCTGCCCTACACCATAGTCATCTCTTTGGTCTAGCCATTCATTACTCAGCATATGTGATCCAGAAGATGCCTGGCAAATTCAAACAGGATCAAGTACTACCCCAGACTCTGATACTCCCCACTAACAGTGGTGGCCTTGAGTCCTGCTATGAAAGCCTCCCTCCCTGACTGTTCCTTGCTTCAACCTCACCTACTGAGACCAATATCAGATTTTAGATACCCACAGCCCTTCACTGTACTGCATTTGATGCCCCTTTACCAGTCACAGCCTTACTCTCTCCACCTAACCCTCATTTAAGGCCCAGCTACGGTGCCCCTCTACCCCATGCTCAGTGAGTCTTCAAGATGACCACTTATGCCCCTAAGCTAATCCACCAGCCTGGCGGGACAACCCAGGCCACACCAAAGGTCACAACGAAATCCTGTGAATAAGAACAAGCTCCAGTTTCATCTTGTGCGAATTACTTCTATGCCTCCACATCTGTCTCGTGTCCACTCATCCTTGAAGGCCTTGGCCATTTGTCAAACCATATTCTCTCCCCCACCCTCTACACGACCACTTCTCTCTAACCTGTGTTGTGACACCCATTTCCCACAAGGGGCCCAAACAAGAAACTCAGTTCTGGGGCCCGCCCTCTTCCTCCTAGTCTACCATTACCATTATCATTCTGACCGGCATTCCCTAAATTAAAATAACGACAGCTCTTCCCTGGTCACATACTCTTCACTACCTTCTGGAAAGTCTCCATCCTGCACTCCTCCTCAGAGTTCTAGACACCCATGAACTGCTCTCTGAAACATCTCATACTTTAACATGCCAAAAATAAAACTCCTGATATCCCAAATGAAAATTACTCTTCCTATGGACTTTGTTCATCTTCCAGCTGCTAATAGCAAACCTTCGAGTCATCCTTTACTCCTAACTCTCTCAACCTCAAAATTAGAAAATCCAGGCAGCCATACCTAAAACACTGATCCAGAATCTGACTGTTTCTCCCACCTCCACGGTCACAATCCTGGTCCAGTTACCATCATACTCATTCAGACTATCGCAGTAGCCTCCTCCTTGGTCCTTCTACCACCTCCATACTCATACTGTTCCCATGCTGCAGCCACAGGGATTCTGAGACCTGAGTCGGCTCACTTGTCTCCATTGCTCCAGATCTCCCACTGCTTCCATCACCTCAATCGACATCCACTTCTCAAAGCTGTTCTAGATCTGCCTCCTGTCCCACTGCTCCTAGTTCCCATTCAGAAGAAAGGATTCCTGCAGGTCCCAGAACCAGTTCAGCCTCCCCTCCAAGCTTCTGCACCTTCTGGTACCCATGCCTAGGAGGATCTTCCATATCTCATTCTACTGGTTGCCAAAAACAGGAACCACTCTATACAACCCTAGACCTGGACTTAGGCCCCTGAGCTTGGTGTCTGTTCTAAGTCCCTCAGGTCCAAGGGCTGGAGGAGTGGCTGAACAGTCCCAGGACACCACTATCCCAGAGACCGTGAGGGTGGGGTGAGGATCAGTGAGGCTCTGAAATAAGCACCACAAACCAGGACCCCTAAGCGATTCTGCAGTTACAGGAATCTATATGCACCGCCAGGATCCATGGGCTCAGGCCGCTAAATACTCTTGCCCAGCCCGGAAGCCAGGTGACCCTGAGATAACTGCATTACCTCTGGGCCTCAGTATTCACTGCAGGCTCTCGCCAGTTACGTAACCTTTTACAGGACATCACCTTCCTCTCCCTATTATCGTCCCTCTTCGAGTCTTTTCTTCTTCTGAGCAGCTTTTGAAAACTTTTGGAACGCTAACTCAGGTTCCTTTTTTGTTCACAACCCTCCATGGCTCCCAGCGTCCTGAGAACGAAAGTGAAACTCCTCGGGCAAACTTCCCCTCACAGTCCCCGTTCCTTGTGGACACTAAAAAGGGCCTAGGGTTCCCCCAATGCTCCCAGTGAGTCGCACCCCGACGTCTTCACACGGCCGGCCTTTCTGCCTGTGACCCTCTTCCACATCCCGTCAGACCGGATGTCGGCCACGAGCGCCGAGGCCTGGGCTGCAGAACGGGAGCAGCGCCCGCATACGGGGCTTTAGAGTTCGGGGGGCTGAGGACGGTGAGGACGGGAGAACACAAACTCACCTCAGCCAGGATCCTCGGCGCGACCGCCGCCATCGGACTCTATGGACGAAGCGCAGTCTGCGTGGCACGGAAGCCCCAATCTCGGCCTGTAGCGGGACACCCCGCGGTAAGCCGCCTCCAAGACTCGGACCCGCCTCTGTGCAGCGGAGACGATTCCCCCTGGCACTTTCTAGACCGCAGCCCTGGGCTGGGAATCCTCTAACTCAGTGAACTGCCGGGATTGGCCAAAATGACCGCCACGTGGACGATGCCGGAAGTCCCGCCCTGACCCGCACGGAAATACCGCTGTCCTGGGCTTTCATAGGCTCAACCCCGCCACCTTTAGGCGCATTGCCCTCTAGGTAATGAAGTTTCTGCTGCTGTACTGGTGACGTAAGTGTCCCGTTCATTGACCTCATCAATAAAGATGTCGAGGCACCACCAGCGGCGCTAGGAAATGACGAATTTATCTTTCAGGGGCGGTTGGTAGGTTTCTGGGGAGTGTTGTCTGCAACTGATCACTTATTTGGAGACATTATTTCAGATTCCATAAAGCTCAGAATGCTACTTGAGGCTAAAAATATTGTTTCAATTATTCCCTAAGCCAAATGGAGCTATTCTCATTCAGACACAAAATGCATCCTCTGTTAACAGAAATATAATAAACACGTTCTTGCTATTTAAATGCATGTAGTCAGAAGCGTTAGTCGATTTTATAACTCTACGTTCAGTCTGGGCCATGACTTGGAAGGTAAGGAAGGCCGCCATGAAGTAAGAGGACAAGGAGTTATCTCTGCCTCTGGTTCCCAGAGAAAACAGCTCTCCTGCTTGTATACTCAGTTATGGTATCCACTCCATAGAACATCGTTTATCCATTCAGTATTCTCTACTCAATATCCTAAGATATAGTCAATTCCTCTGGGAATCTGACATCTATCTCAAACGGAGAGCAACTTATTAGATTGTGTTTTGGTATGTGATAGTGACCAGTGTTCTCAGGCAGAGCACATGTTCACAGGGGGCATCCAAACCTCATCATCTCATCTCCTTCAGTGATTGCTGGGACTGTTGTCGTTCGTGAGGAATTGATGATATCTCAGAAAAGAAGGTACCGAAATGCAAATTACAGAAAGCCATTAATAATGATTATGTAATTATTCAAAGATAAAGCTGTAAGGAAACATCAGTGGAGGGTGAAAAGAGTTAAGACCTCAGATAATTTTCATCAGGAGACATTGAAGTCTGAATTAGGCTGAGCCCAATCTTGGCATTGTGATTCTTTTTAATCGGTTTCATCCTAGTGGATTTGTAATGGTTTCTCATTGTAGTTTTAACTTAGTATCTCGTAAGGACTAATGTCAAACAACTTTTCTACTGACCATTGATACACATTCCTTAATGAAGAGTCTGTTCAAATATGTTGCCTATTTTATTTTTTGTCCTTTTCTTATTGATTTCTATGATTTATATGCAAGTCCTTCAGTCAAATATTCACAAATTTTTCTACTATTTTGTATTGCCATTTTAAATCGTTTTTGAGATTATATGTGTATATATGTGTGTATATGTTTGTGTATGTATATATACATATATATATAGTGTCATCCCAGTGGTTTAAGAGTTGTCTTTACTTATAACTAGCAATTCCTCACTACTCCAATGTTTTAGTTAATAACTTTTATTAAACTTTCTCTATTCACACTACTATGAAATTTCTTTCTCCTGATTGGACCCTAACTGATAAGGAGCTGGTTCTGGCAGTAGTACTCCTAATAGATAAACACATAAGGATGAGATTTGAATATTGGTTCAACCATGTCCTTGGGCTTGAATGAAGTGCTAAACACCTAGCCAATGGGAAATTGGGTGCTAGTGATCTATGGTATGCATTGGCATCATAATTGATCTATTACCTGGAAGTGATTATGATGAAGTAGCAACTGCAGTACATGCCTTGAGACCAAGTAAGTGCTGCAGTGAGTATTAAGACAGTGAATGTGACTACAAGGACTGTGTTCAGGGAAGGATTCTTTTGACTTCACATTTCTGCTTACAGAGAGAAAATGGTAAGTTGAAGATCACTATCTCTCAGCTCAAGTCCCAATATAAGAAACAGAAGGTTTCCATGATAGCCCTAAAAGCTCTGATTTCTGTAGCTGCAGGGCTCATGTTACTGAAAATCAGAACATTAAATGGCTTTCTGAATTACAATGAGAGTTGAATACAGTACCCTGTGGAGTTGGGGTTTACCACTCTCCTGATACACAAATGTGTTCACCAAGCTCTTTGAACTTTGTGGTTACAAAAACATAATCAATTGTTAATTCAATTTCTAGACCCTCTCCTCTTCCCAGAAGATGGGTGTGGGGCTGAAAGTTTTAAACTTCTAATCATGGCTTGGTCTTTCTGAGGACCAGCACCCATCCTGTAGCCATCCAGGAGCCCACGAAGGGTTGAAACAAAAGACACTCACATGGGAAATTCTAAAGGACTTAGGAACTCTGCGTCAGAAACCAAAGTCAAAAACCAACTCTTACAACAAAAGATGTGCCTAGTGCTCTCATCACTCAGAAAATTATAAGGTTTTTGGAGATCTGTGCCAGGAACTGGAGAAAATATGCATAACTTATATTCCCTATTATTTTGCAACTTGTCTCAGAGGTCTTTTGAAAGAGATTTTCCCCTTGTACCAAGAAGCATGTGCCAGAATATTCACTATAGCAAAATCCCTAGAGATAGGAAAGAGGACAGGTAAACACGCTTCTCCACACAGTGGAACCTTATCTGCAGCCCAATAGTTCTCCCTTCTATGGATGCAGTGAGGGAATCACAGAAATGTCACAATTACACTGTAGATTGCCCCCTTCCATGGTTCAAGCCATATCTACATGTCACCTACTTTCAGTGAGATTGAGCCCTAATTTCCTAGTGGAAACCAGCTCACAAATGGATTCCAAATAAGCAGCATACATGCCTTTGCCTCAGCATTGCCCAGAATCCTCTTTTTCTCCAAACTGCTTTTTTCAAACTGGTTCTGCGAATAAGCTCCCCTTCCTCCCCCTACCTGCCATCTCTGGAAGAAATGAATGAAAAATATTTGATTTTTCTGGTATCTGTTTTAATAATTTTCTGCAACTTCCCATCACCAGTGATATTCATATCCAGTTTAACTTTTAATATGTCCAGTGAATTAAAGAAATGATTATATCATTTAACTATAACAGTCTCTTTTCATGGGCTAAGTCCCATTTCCCAGGTTTCTTCCTCCCCTCCCCACATATTTAGGTGTCTGTGGCTGCACTGAAATAAAGAGTGTGGACAGAGGACAGGATAGCTGGCAGGGAAAGCCTCACTGGACCACATGAGTGGGTGTTTGTGTCCTGGGGTTGGGTGTCATTGCCTTCTCATGTGGGGCATATTCCTAGATTTTAAGAGATAAACACTGACATTACACTTTTCATTTATTCAACAGATTTTATTGGTCATTTGAAATGTGTCAGCCCCTTTCTAGGCACCTCAGATACTTTGGTGAACAAAACTGAGAAATCCCCTGTCTTCCTTGAACTTCCATTTTAGTGAAGGAGACAATAAGTGGACAATATAATCAGGATATTATAAATTATAAAGAGAAGTATAAATCATAAACAGAAGTACCATGGAAATAACGCATACTCGCAGATACATTTTTATACGTTACATCGAGGAAGCTTCTGGTGCGGAGGAAACACATCTGAAGGCAAGTCTCTGGTGTGTCCTCAGGTGGCGGTGGTAGGTAGATGATTGGCGGTAGCTTCTCTGGCACAAGGAACACACATAGGGCTTCTCTCCAGTGTGAATTCTCTCATGAGCCACAAGATTTGTTCTGTGGCTGAATGACATTTCACATGTGCCACACCTGAAAGGCCTTTCTCCTGTGTGAATCTTCTGATGAACGTGTAGATCTGAGGCCTGGAAGAAGCCTTTGTTACACTTAGCACAAATAAATGTCCTCTCATTATTGTGTCTTCTCTGGTGGATTTTCAACCGAGAGAAATACCTAAAGATCTTGGGACACTTGTCACATTGGTATGACTTTTGTGCTCTGTGGAATCTTTCTTGGTGTTCCCCATATGTGGAGTTTCCCACATTGCTCTGATGGGTAGGAACAGGCTCAGGAGTGACCTGATCTGGCCTGGAGAGAAACACTGGTCCCACCTCCATCAGGACATCTTGATAAGGTGGTCCTTTCAGGGACCCCTCCTGGGACCTGGAGGTGCTTAGACCTGCTCTTCTAGAGTTGAGCAAATTCTCCACAGAAACATGTCCCTCTTCAGGCCTGGGACAGCTCTCTTCCTGGATGACAAGTAGGGAAGGTATTTGATGGCCTTGACTAGTAGTACTGTCATTTACTTGACACGTTTCCAAAGAAATACTGCCATCATTTTCTTTATCTTCATCTCCTGTGAAAATAAAGAAGTGACTCAGTGAAATTGTACCCCAAAAGGGTTCCACACAGAACATCCCTCTGTTACCTGGGCTCCCCTCACTCACTTTGTTCTGTTTCCAGGGAAGTATCTTGGGGAGTCCAGGAGGGTATCTTCATGTTTGCTGCTGTCGAGGTTC